TTTTTATTTATTTTTTGTTAAATGTGCTCAAAGAGCAGTAAAAAAATGTACTGTATATTATTCTTATGTAATATTCTTATATGCTGGAATGCATTTCAATGGTGCACAGCATTATAATCTTTCAGTTTATCACTATTGGCTGATTTTGGATATATTTCAATGGCGTTGCATTATTATTTCCCTTTATTTTTACATTTAGATTACTTTTACCATTATCTAAAGTTGATCTTTAAAAATGCTAATAATTTAATTATTTAAATTTAATTAATTAATAACACTTTTAGGAAATCTATATCTTTATCGTACTTTATAATGCTGATGCCTAAATTCACTTGAAATATTGAAAAGTATTTTAAAGTGCTTTATTTTTATCTATACAAAATCATAAAATTGTTAGATAATCAGCCAACGTTATAGACTTATTATTAATATGATCAACTTATTGTATTGGATAGAATTTTTCAAATCTGTGCATTTCTACCACAGTGGCTAATCAATGCATAAATGAAATCATGTTAGGTTATACATATTTAATTTGAAGCAAATATAGATTTAGGTTATAAGTATTTAATTTGAAGTAAATATAGATGTTCTTACTGGTGTTCTGCATGTATTTAAAGATTTGGAAAGGTAAGAAGTGCCATGTTTATTCTCTTCAACTATTACAAGTCCTTTGGCAATAAAATGTTTTCATATTTTTGGTTAATTTCTATAAATCTCCATTTTATCAAAACACACATATCCTCCTTATATATTTACTTTATAAAAGTGCAAAAGTCTAATAATGTGTTACTAACAATGGGGTTTAACAAAGTACCAATTGCATAGTTTTGAAAAACAGTCTGGCACACATTTGTGTCTCATTCATTCAGTCATTACAAATAATTAATCTAAGCATCTATTCTCCTCTTTTCTCTCAATGTCTAACCAATCACACCACTACAAATGTACAGGGTTTGATCCCTGTTTTGGCTATTGTGCATCAATTTCCCTGGAAGTTGCATGCATTAATGAGTGTTTTTGTTTTGTGTGTGTGTGTGTGTGTGTTTTGTGTGTATTTCACTGTCACTCCCCCGCACTGTATGGTATTAATGTAAATGCCAACAGTCTGCGCTCCTTCAGTTCGGATAGGTCCAACACACTCAACCGGAGCTCCTTCGCCCGTGACAGCATGATGATTGAAGAGATCCTGGCGCCAAACAAGGACACGGTACGCCCTCTTTTTCCTTGAGTTTTCAGATTCTGTGTTGCCTTTGTGCTGTCTTTTGGGGTGTTTTGAGTTTTATATCATGTGGAAGTTCATAATTTGTGAATTTGAGCAATTAAAAGCACCCAGAGCATAATGTTCTCTGCGCCAATTCAACTCAGCATACCTGACTCTAAACTACATTCTCATTTCCTCCAGGAATACAAGTCCTCACTAACAAAAAAAGAGTGTTAGTGCCATGGTATTTTTTGAAGTACCATGTATATACCATAAAATGTGAATACGATAATTATTCAGTATCAGTGTATATAGCAAATCACCATGATGTGGTGTATTAGTGTTAGTGTTAGTAATAGATTAGTGTTAATTTCTTTTGTTAAACTATTTTTTCTTCTTTTTTAAAGTTTC